CCCGAATCCCGAATCTACATGAAGTCCGAAAGAGGGGGGGCACTCAACAAGGCAAAAACGAAAAACTAACAACCAACAATGCTAGGTACAAGATAGAGAAACTACACAACCAAATTATGAAAAAATGGAAGGTGAGAGTTCCCAGTTCCTTTGGAGTCGCCTATTTGTAGGTGTGTCAGCAATTTTCCCTGAGGATAGAGCTTTATCCTTCACCAGGCTTGAGCAAGTGTTTGCGGATTCCGGAATAAAGATACTCTTGTTTCGAAAAGAGAGTTGTTCCGCTCAATCCATATGATGTGACAAAGAGCACCGAAGGAGAATCTAGCGATTCGGTGCCGGAAGGAAGTGCCTCCACAAACTTTGAAGGCCCACGAAAGAAGCTCCAGCCACGGACGATTGCGCCATGGCAGATTGCATTTGGTTGCCCAAAATGAGGCCAGCCTGCTGGTAACAGAATATTCGAAGAAGAGATGGTTGATGGAATCTGGGATAGTACGACAGAAAGCACATAAACCTGATTCAATCCGACGATTCTGCATAAGAAAGACCTGGGTAGGTAGCCGTTTTAATGACACAATCCATAATAAAAAGGAGTGGCGGGGGGTCAAGTGAGAGTCCCATATAAAGGAGTGCCAAGGTGCTGGATTGCCTTTCTTCCTTATGTGGTTCCAGGGCCCGGGCCACCGAGAAAGATTCATCGGGTTTGGACTCTAGGTAAAGCCTGTCCGAGTGTCATCATCTAATCTTGGAAGATGATCCATCCATTCCAGGATAGAGTGGAGGGTTGCTTGATGGTTGCCATGTAGAGTGGAAAAAATCCCGAACCGAAAAGTCCCGCGGGATCCGAGATTGGTATATTTCCGTATTGTTGAAAAGTAGGTAGAGGGGGCCTCTTGTGTGCCAGCAATCATACCAAAAGGATATCGACCGGCCATTGCCAATTTTCCACCTGAAAAGGGTCTGGGCTGAGACTCGCAAGTCGAGAATCTTCTTCCAAGTCCATGAGCAAAAGGTGGGCTTGGGTACAACCCAAAAGTTCTTCTTTAAAAAGTTAGAATGTATCCATTTACACCACATGGATTCCTTATCGGTGAAAAGGATCCATATGTGCTTTAGAGTCATGGCTCTATTATATTCAGTAAGCCTTCGTATCCCGAGGCCGCCTTCATCTTTTGGGAGACAGACAACATTCCAAGATACCTTTGCACCTCCCGTTCCTAAGCCAGGACCTTTCCAAAGGAAGCGTCGAAGGATAGCCTCAATGCTATTCAAGACCGATTTGGGGAGGGAGAAAATTGTGGCCCAGTAAACTTGGATGGAGAGTAAAACCGATTGTATGAGCTGTACGCGACCAGCAAACGATAGGAATCTTTGGGTCCAAGAACAGGCTCGTGCCGTTATGGATTCAATGAGGAATTTGCAATCCTCTTTACGCAGCCTAGAAGAGATAATAGGCACACCCAAGTATCGAAAGGGCAGAGACCCTTGTTGAAAACCGATGCATTGAAGAAGAGCACTACGGAGATCGGGATTACCGCCCGAGAGGTACATATTGCTCTTATTAAGATTTGGTCTTAAGCCAGAACAATTTGAGAACAAATCGAGGGATTCCTTTATGAGCTCTAACGATCTCATGTGTCCTTGCGAAAATAAAAGAACATCATCAGCAAAGAACAAATGGGATATACGAGGTTTCTTGCATCGCCAAAACCACCTGGAAGTCTGGACTGTCAGGTTTTGGACTTGAGGATAGGCTGAGAAGATTTCCATAGCTAGGATGAATAGGTACGACGATAGCGGATCGCCCTGACGTATCCCTCGGCTACTATGAAAATGGCCATGTAGTTCTCCATTAATGGAGACCGAGAACTTTGCAGTTGAGATGCATGTCATAACCATTTAATGAAAAAAGCCGGAAATTTGAAGGTCAGTGAGTACCCTTTCTATGAAGTTCCAATCAAGTGTGTCAAAGGCTTTATGAAAATCAACCTTAATGGCACATTTTGGTAGATAAGCTTCATGGTGAAAGTCCGCAAAAAGCTCTTGTGCAACCATGATGTTGTCACTGATTCGGCGGCCTTTAACAAATGCTGTTTGGGAGGATCCAATCAACGTCGGTATAACCTTTGCAATGCGCCCAGCAAGGATTTTTGAGATGCATTTATAAAGGGTGTTGCAGCATGCAATTGGTCTGAAGTCGCTCGTGGCCGATGCATTTGGGGATTTCGGTACCAACGTTAAGATGGTGTTATTAATCTCTTTAAGCAAACGACCTGTCTCAAAGAAGTCCTTTATAGCCGTCAGAATAGATGGGCCAATGATCCCCCATGTGTGCTTGAAGAACTCAACATTGTAACCGTCAGGGCCAGGAGCTTTGCTCTTAGCAAGTGAGAAGAGATTTGATTGAATTTCTTCCTCGCACTGTCGAGAAAGGATAGTCCTCTCGATTTCCATCTAAGACTTGGTCAATAAGAATCTCCAACTCGGGAACAGAAAGTTGGGCTGGTGCTGAATCGCCATTTAATAGACTCGAAAGTGGCGTACAATATGGTTCTTGACTTCCCGAGGTTCGATGAATTAGCACACCATCCTCTGTTGAAACAAAGGAGGATTCTATTGTGGAGTCTCCTCTTGTTAACAAAGTGATGAAAGTATTTAGTGTTCATGTCGCCTTCCTTGAGCCAACGAATTCTAGATTTCTGGCTGAAGAAAGATTCTTCTTGAGATCTCAAATCAGAGAAAGTTCGCAAGAGTGTGGCTTCGCTTGCATTTAGGTCTCGATCAAAAGGATTCGACTCCAAGGCTGTTTGAACGTCGAGAGATTCAATCTAGCCTCGCTTTCCGTCCCGTTGGAAATTTACGAGAAGGAAGCCCTATTCATAAGTTTCAACTTTGCTTTGAGGGCCTTGAGTTTACAGCAAACTATAAACATAGGGGTGCCAATGTAGTGAGTATCCCAAACTTGGGTAACTATGTCCATGAAGGCTGGATGAGAAGTCCAGAAGTTAAAGAACTTGAACGGCTTGTTGGAAGAACTAGGTGGAACAATCTTAATCACCATGGGGCTGTGATCAGATATTCCAGGCGGGAGAAAATTGGCTTCAGAGAAAGAGAATTGTTGGAGCCAACAGTCATTTATAAGTACCCGATCGATCTTACGCATTTTCCGATTTGCCCCTGAGGAATGTGTCCAAGTGTAACGACATCCTACATATCGAAGGTCCTCCAAACCGGCTTGGTTGAGGCCTTCTCTACATTCATCAAAAGATGGAATCCAAGGTGTTGAGCTGCCCACCCTATCCTCCGGATCTCTGATTGCATTGAAGTCCCCGGCAACAATCCAAGGTAAGTCGCCATTGGAGAGTCGGTATAGGTCAGCCCATAGTTGTTTGCGCTTTACAAAAGTGTGTTCACCGTATACAATTGTAAACAAGCAAGAATCCTGGAGGTGCAAAAACCGGAGCTGAAGATGCATTATTTGGCAAGAAGTATAAATGAGACTAATATCCAGCTCATTTGGGTCCCAGCCGAACCAAATCCTACCAAGAGGGGAGAAGCTGTAGTTGGAGAGCCAACGCCAGTTGGTGGATAAGCCTCTTGAAATCACAGCAAAAGAAGAGGCTTTAACTTTGGTTTCAATAATCCCAATACAGCGAAGGTGATTTTTAGTAATGAAGGCACGAATTTCAGCTTGCCTCAGGGGTGCTACTAGTCCCCGTATATTCCATACGCCAAAAAACATAAGTAGATACAGATAACTAACGCTGAGTTCTCCTTGGCTTCCTCCTTTTGGATTTCTTTTTAGAGGAAGACGGACTAGGGACTGTTCCAGGGTGCATTGCGTTATGTCCAGTACCGGAAGAGGGTCTAGGCAGTTCGTCCGAAGCTCCAGACAGAGAAGTGCGAGACCTTGTGTTGGGGGGGGAGGAAGGTGCTGCCCCCCTTTCCAGTATTCCTTCCGAGTCACTAGAGTTGTCCGGAATTGCCTGGGACTCAGGAGATCCTTCGGTGGAAGCCTGCTGAGGTAGAGAATGCTCCTCAGTCAGCTGATCAGTAGGATCTGCAGGACTTGAAGCAGAGGGCAGGCTTGGGCCTAGATCGGTGACCATAGGAGGTCTCAGGTCAGTGTCCCCTCTCTCAGGTTGCAGAGGTGAATGCAAAATAGCCGGAGGGGATTCAGTCGTGTTCAGATTCAAGCCTGAAGCAGGGCCTGGGATGAACTGCGCAGGAGCTGTAATTGGTGCTGAAAGGGACTGTCCAGCAGGTGCTTTGCCTTTATATTTGTAAGTCCCACTTTGTTCATATTTGGTCGTATATTTGTAAGTCTTTTTTTATTTATTTTTATCTAGGTCTTTTTTTAATCCTCTGATTAGACAAGTACCAACTCATTCAGAGTCTTTGTTTAAGTAAGTTGAAAAATTGAAAGATAAGAGTAATAGACCTGCAGAAAATGCTGTCATTTTTTTTTTGTTGTATTAAAGACAAGAAAAATTGTCAAGCAATAATTTGTGAGCATTTCTTTCTGGTGCCTCATATAATTGGCGGTTTCCTTTTTCTGTGTTGTATTAAAAATGAAGGACAAGCAATCTAAGAACAGATAAATCACACACCATCGATGGCTCAAAAATTATACACAACAAACCTCGTTCACACCTCGAATTGACTAAGTTTTGCTCTTGTTAGGTGTTGAAATTGGAGTCAACGCGAGGTCTCTATCTACCAAAACTCCCATTGGCGTTTTGCCAAGACCATATTCACTCCACCAGATGAGTTCATCTGAGAATTATAGTTTCCTATGAGACATCGGAAGAACAAGTCATGTTCCTCGTAGGTTCGCTTGTGTTTTGTCCAGTAAAACGAAAAGGAAATCGTGGATGTGTGTGTGAACATCGTGTAAGCATTTTCTTGTGCATCATTCGATATATATACGAGGATGCAAACGAGAGGCAATAAAAACACGCAGAGAGAGAGAGAGAGAGAGAGAGAGAGAGAGAGAGAGAATGGCTGATGCAGGAGCAGCCGAGATATCGTTAGAGTTCACGCCGTCGTGGGTGGTGGCTCTAGTTTGCTTCTTCATAGTCTTGATTTCTATCCTTGTTGATAGATTTCTTCTTTGCGCTGGCCAGGTGATGACTCTTGCTACCTAAGTTCTGAGAGTATCGACCTCTCCTAAAGTCTAACTCCGACATGCCGATCGCAATGCCTACTATTCTCTAACTCAAGTTTCCTTGCCGAATGCAGCTTTTGCAGAAGCGCAAAAAGTGGCCACTCGTCGGCGCCTTACAGAAGATCAAAGAAGGTGAGGGATCATTTTTTTCTCTTTTTTTTTTTGGACTATGTACAATGCTAATGTGCATGCATGCGAATTCTTTCCTTTGGTTTTTTGGGTACGATGATGATGCAGAGTTGATGCTACTGGGTTTCATATCGCTGCTCTTAGCGGTGTTCCAAACTAGAATAGGGAAGATTTGCATATCGGACCGACTCGCCAACTCCTGGCTTCCTTGCAAGAAGCCCAATTCCTCTTCCACTGTCGCCAGTTTCACTACTAGTTCCTTTGCTTCCAGCGGAGCAAGAGGACGCCGCCTCCTCGCTGAAGCTTCTGATACCTACTGCAGTAAAAATGTAATTTTACCAAAGCTGCTGCTGCTTCTTCTCCTTCTTCTTCTATAAATATAGAGATTTTAACGCTACAAAGGTTAGTTTAAAAGATTGACATACACAATTATATTGTAAACTGTAAACAGATATTAAAATAAGAGGGGATAAGAACACTAGAAGTGCCAAAACTTGTGTACGGCGCTCACTTTAGTGCCAAAAGTTTGTTTCGGATCACTTAAGTGCCACTTTTTTGAAAAAACGATTACTTAAGTGCCAACTCCGATTTGGGTCGTCGGAAATCTGACGTGACCATATTTTATTAATTTCTCAGTCCTACGTAGCACGTCGACGCTGACGAGGACAATATTTAATAATAATTTAATAATTTAAAATTTTTTTTGATTTTTTTTTTCTGTTTTTTCCTTTTTTCTTTTCTTTCTTCTTCTTCTTCGTTTGGCCAGTCACCGGACACCAGCCACTGGCCATGGTCGGCCGCCTGGCCTCGCCCAAACGAGGTCGCCGTCGCTCGCCACGGGCGAGGCGAGGCAAGGCCGCCGTGGCCTGGGCGACCGCCGGTGAGGCCGCCGTGGCCTAGGCGAGGGCCGGCCTCGCCTCGCACAGGCAAGGGCGTGCCCGGGCGAGGCGAGGCGAGCGAGGCCGGCCCTCCCCAAATCCGGCGGGCGCGGCCCTCGCCCGGGCCACGGCAGCCTCGCCGGCGGTCGCCTTCCCACAGGAGACCGCCCAGGCTAGGCCGAGCGGCCGGCCATGGCCGGTCCCGGCGAGAGCGAGGCTGGCCCTCGCCGAGATCCGGCGGGGCCGGCCCTCGCCCGGGCCACGGCGGCCTCGCCGGCGGTTGCCTTCCCCTGGCGACCGCCGGCGAGGCCATCGTGGGTTGGGCGAGGGCCGGCCCCCGGATCCGGCGAGGAGCCAGCCTCGCCTCGCTGGGCATGCCCTTGCCCGGGCGAGGCGAGCGAGGCCGGCCCTCGCCCGGGCCATGGCGAGGCTCGCCGGCGGTTGCCTTCTCCTGGGCGACCCCCGGCGAGGCCAGGCGGCCGGCCATGGCCGGTGGCCGGTCACCGCCCAATTGAAGAAGAAGAAGAAAAAAAAGAAAAAAAGAAAAGAAGGAAAAAACAGAAAAAAATCAAAAAATAATTAAAAATCGAAATTTACACGTGAAAATGCCACGCAGGACTGAGAAATTCAAAATATACACATGGAAATGCCACGTAGATTAACATTTTAATTAAAAAAGTCACGTATTAATTTGGCCGGAATTTCTCGCCATTGGCACTTAAGTGATCGTTTTTCTCCGATTTTGGTACTTAAGTGATCCGAAACAAACTTTTGGCACTAAAGTGAGCGCCGTACACAAGTTTTGGCACTTTTAGTGTTCTTCTCCCAAATAAGAGGATAGTGTTTTGTGACCCTTGAAGAGTGTATCATATCATTTAGGTTAATAACAATTTTCTATACAAGTCCTTGCTCATCTCCGGTGTTAAGAGAGATCTGAAGACTACAATGAATTGATACAATCTCTCACGGCGAATATTTGGTGCCATCGTCTTTTTTTCCAGGGGAAGGTGCCATTGTTGTCTGTTGAAGCACTCCATCACCTGGACATTTTCATATTTGTCCTAGCTACGTTTCACGTAGTCCTCTGTGTGCTCAAAGTACTCCTTGGATATGCTAAGGTATGGTGTGCTATGACATTGTTGTCACTTCAACTATTTCTTTCTGTTACTTCTGCTTACAACTTTCCCTCCACATTTAAGAAGAAAAATATATCGTACTTGAGTTTCGAAAAAACGTAAAAAGACCATATGTGATTCCTCGTGTATATTATTTGATATTTCAATAGGTTTCAAGTGCTTCGAGTCCTTTTTTTTGTGAGTTTTCCAATTTTAAAAAAGTCAAAAGTAAAACTCATCCAAAGTAGGAAAATCTCTAGAAAATTAGAGGTATGTCAAAAGTAACATAATTTTTGTCCTTCCATGCTGTTAGATACGTCAATTGAGCAAGTTGGAGGAACATGATGTAGGGAGCACGCATTATGATACGCTGAAAAGAGGTAATGTCGGCGAATTCATCCTGCTCAAGCAATGCCGTAAACGGGAGGCGAGGATGAGTGATCTTACTCACTAAAAATTCTTTTTCCAGTCTCCAAAAATTTTTCTAAATCTGATTGTGGAACTTCTATTCCGTGTGCATCTGCAGTATTCACGGAGAAGCTGCGTGATTATAACAACCGACGCCACAATGAATCAGCTGTACCAGGCTGGGCGGTAAGTCATTGAGTTTCTTAAAGTTCCCCACGACTGGAAATTTGTCCCGTTATAGTTATGGAATACGATATTTATGATTACCTGGAAGGAAGAGTTCTTCAACCTGAGACCCAACATTGTCTTACATTTTCCTTTTCTGCAGATATCATTTTTCAAGCAGTTTTATCCTTCTGTGACCGAGTTTGAGTACATCGCTCTTCGTCTGAACTTCATGGTGATACGTATTGGACATTCTTATTTGGAAATTCAATTTTGGTCCTCGTATGCTTATATTTTGCCTTGAAATGGTTCAATAAGTTCAAATTTCTGTCTTGTCCGCAGGCACATGATTTGAAAGATCCGAAGAAAGATTTTCAGAAGTACATAATTGGGGCCGTGCAGAAGGATTTTGAGAAAATGGTTGGAATCAGGTAGATAGATACCCCTTTATACAAAGCTATTTAATTGGATGTTGCCATGATGAAGGCTTGGTGATCAACGAATAGAACAGAAAGGAATGAAATGAGAGAGAAGAAAAATTTTCTTCTCTTTACAAGAAAGAACTCATTTTGCTAGGATGAAATAATTAGTCGTTGGTTTTACTCGCCCCGCTCCACATGACACAGGATAGATCTCTATTGCAGCATGTTGAATTACTCATCCTCATCTAAAGGCAATATATATGGCTGATTAATTTGTCAACTATTAATACGAGAATGTTATTGAGTAATCCAATCTTTCTTTCTACGACACTACGAAATTCATGAAAAACAAAACATTATGACTTTTCCACGAAAATAGTACTTCAAATATCAGAGAATGTTTAGTTCTTGTTCAGGCAGACTGATTTGCATTTTTATCATCATCGCAGCTGGTACTTGTGGTTATGCGCAGTGATATTTTTGCTCGTGAATGTAGCTGGTGAGTGACTTAAGCACATAAATTTATAATTATTCTGCATTTTAACATTAGCGGTAACTACAGAGTTGGTTACTAGCATGAGCAAAAATTTTAGGGAAATCAACTCAGGTCAAGTGCTAGTAAAGGACACAATACCCGGATCACATGGTCTTCCTCGAGGATGGTGATGACTTAAGGACATGAACATTCCGGTACTAATGGAGCTAAAATGATCAATTCTTACTATGCCTAGAGTTAGCCTAATCTGCATTGAAATATATCGTAGAGGAACGAAAGGAAAAATGCCTTCCATGATACAGTGTTTATCTTAAGGATGAGCAAATCATTAGTAGTGACACTGAAAAAATTGCTTTGGATCTTAACATTATTGGACAGTTAGTCTTCCTATTCGAAACCTGGAATATGCATGTCCAATTGGTTTCTGTCTTCTTCTTTTTTTTTCCTTTGAGATAACTAATAAGGTTGTATCATTTAGAAAAAAGGCATCCTTATTCCAATCCATTTCTGGGTACAATTGTTGCAGGATGGCATGCGTACTTTTGGATATCTTTCATTCCGTTTACTGTAAGTAGTGATAAAAACTCCCTTCCTAAGTCCTTATGTCTGGCAAATTCCAAATGATTCATGATGAAAAAAGAAGATGAGAGGGGTTCTCGCTAATTCTGCGCAGCTTTTGCTCATCGTTGGCACCAAATTGGAGCATATGATAACGCAACTAGCCAAAGAGGTTGCCAAAAAGCATTCACAAAATGAAAATAACTCTCCTACCATAGAAAGTGCAAAGGAGTTGGTTGTTAAATTTTCAGAAGACAAGTTTTGGTTTGGTAGGCCTCATCTCGTCCGCAACCTGATTCACATTGTGCTATTCGAGAACTCTTTGGAGCTTGCTTTCTTCTTCTTTATATTGGTGAGTATAAATAACTCAAATTGTCATTATCATTAGTGATGTTAAGCTAAGTTTCTAGCATATGGCAAAAATTCCAACTAATGCGCCATCGTATCTCTATGCAGTTCCAATATGACTTTCACTCCTGCGTTATGGGAAAGGTTGGTTTTGTCGTCCCAAGGATAGCAATTGGGTAAGACCTGTTGCTCATGTCATTTATATCATAGTCCTGTAATCTGTGTTGTATATTGTAAACAGTCGAGGCCTCACAATCAATTTCACATATGTGGCATTTGCCGCTCTCTCAGAGTGTTTGTCCAGTTCATGTGTATCTTCAGAACATTACCACTATACGCAATTATGAAGTCACAGGTGAGTTGAACTTACACCCTACTATGCTCTCAAGATTTGGAAGTTCTTTGTTTTTTTCCTCTCTTCGAGTTTAAATAACACGACTGAAGATGCAAAGTTCTTTTTATTTGTCTCATTAAGATGCATCCGAAGGAGAATCAATCAGATGAAGAGGAAGATATGTGGATTGTGACCAGGATTTCGAAGTGGATCGATGACAGAAAGAATTCAATATTAACAAAGGTGGCCACAAATACTGAATCGACCCAAACCGGTTCGAGAGAGGGATCTGCTGGAGATGAGATAACAGAATCCAGTGACATGAATGCGATAGGAGACATCGAAGCGCAAAATAGATAACCAAGCCTGCACCAACTTTAGTTGTTTCTTTTTTCTTATCGTGATATGTACATGTGACGAGAGCTCAAGTCTTGCTGCGCAATAATTCTTTCCTCTTCATTGGTGCAGCTTCTTTTATCTGAGCATCTGCTTCTTAGAGAGAGAGAGAGAGAGAGAGAGAGAGAGAGAGAGGACAACAATATGATATAGGGTTTTGCTAGAATGAAAGTCTTTGGACCACTGTGAGAGTAATGTCATGTTGTGAGTCACATATTCTTGAGGGACTGGATTTCACAATAAATTTTTATTATTTGTTATTTATTTTTTGTGGTCCATAACAGGTTATTAATTTCATAGTGGATTAAGGGCAGTCACTTAATCATTCTCCATGATATAAGAGACATTTACGTCCTGGCAACCGTCCGAAAAGAAAGAGACAACCTCCGATTCCTCACACGACAGAAAGGCAGTGCAAAGACAAACAGAAAAAGGATCCTTTTGGAAAAAACAAGCGAAAGAGATTATGCCAATGAAAAAGGTGAAACAAGCGACTTATTCGCGGGAAACCAAGGCCACCTGTGTCCCGACATTGCGACTACAAAACAGCCCGACCAGAGTTGCCAGACCGCTTTTGAGCCCTTGGGCAATTTCTTCCACATAGATAGTCCTTCCCACTTTGAGCTGAGGCAAAACCATATCCGGGAACGTTGGATAGAGATGCTAACAGTCAAGCACATTGATAACCTTCCATTCCAACCCGCCTCAGCATAATATGGATCAAGTTGTGTACACCTTCGGGGCAGCTCAAGGTTGTACTGCGAGATCATTCCACATGTTGAAAATATGTCTTGAGTTTAAACCCGAAGTGAAAATCTAAATATTCCGAATTGGGTATTTTACAGACGTCCGAATATATATTTCCTATTTAGTGTCAGAGTCCAAGTTGGATAAAGATTCCAAGAAAAAAACAGGGAAAAGGAAATATACGAAATTAGCTATCCTAGTATGTGTTGGAGTTCGGCCACTGAAAAGTCTTAAATTGGAAAGTCCGCATGGACTTTGAATTTGACCTTGATTCGAACATACATGGAGTTTATATATAAGTTTCCTGTTGAAGTTGAACTTCTTGTCTTGAAGCGCCTTTTCGTGAGTGCTTATGTGCCGTGGGCATTGTTGAAGAGTGCAGAGTGTGGTCTTCGTGCCGTTCATGTCCAGAGAAGAACTGAAGTGTCGAATCGAGTGCTTGATGTGAATCGAGTGGAATTACATCCTGGCGTTTTCTTCTTGCGTGAGTGATTTAGCAAATTAATTAAATCTTGTAGTAAGATTTGTAATTAATTCCTTCGTGAGATTGAGAGATTATTTCGTAAGGAATTGTGGAGCTAAATACTGCATGTGTTATTAGGTGTAATTGGGGCTTGGGAAACACCGAGAGTGTTTGAGCGATTCGAGTGTGATTGTAATCTCCGTTGTATCGCTTGATCTATAGTGGAATTTCGTGTTGCTCTCCCCATAGACGTAGGTCACTACGACTGAACCACGTGAATTTGGTGTCCGATTTATTTTCTTATTTTGTCAATTTTATTGTTCGATCGCTTGGCTTCCGTAATAATTGGTATCAAAGCGTGGCTTAGCTGAGTTGAAGCGAATCGATGGCGACAGAAGAAGGAAAAGTGAGAATCGAAAGATTTGATGGGAAGAATTTTTGTTTCTGGAAGATGCAAATTGAGGATCATCTATATCAGATGAAGCTGCACTTGCCCTTATCTGGAGAGAAGCCAGAGACGATGAAGCAAACTGATTGGGAATTGCTGGATAGACGAGCTTTGGGTGTTATTTGGCTGACGTTGGCACGTAACGTTGCGTTTAACATCGTGAAAGAGACAACTACTGCGGGTTTGATGAAAGCCTAGTCGGACATGTACGAGAAGCCCTCTACGATCAATAAGGTCTATTTGATGCGACATTTGTTTAACTTGAAGATGAACGAAGGTGCGTCGATTGCTAATCATATTAATGAATTCAATGTGATTATTAGTCAATTGAGTTCAGTTGACATTGACTTTGAAGATGAGGTACGTACTTTGATTCTATTATCCTCATTGCCTGATAGTTGGAATACTACTGTTACTGCTGTTAGTAATCCTCTGGGTTGATAAGTTTAACGTTTGATGGTATTCGAGATTTAATTCTGAGTGAGGATATCCGTAGAAGAGAATCTGGCGAACATGTATCTGCTGCTTTAGTAGGTGAAAATAGAGGAAGAACTGATACACGTGTTAGCAGAAGTAGTATGAATTCGAATAGACGAAGTCAGTCTAGGACTGGTAGTGTTGTTTGTTGGAGTTGTGGCAAGAGGGGGCATCTTAGAAGATATTGCCTTAAGCTGAAGAATGACAAGGGTAAGGGAATTAGAGTTGATCCTGCGGATGATGTTGCAGCTATAGCTGATGGTAATTCGGATAATGCTGATTATGTCTTGTCTGTCATTGATGATTTATCGTTTGATGGATGGATTATGGATTCTGGTTTGTCTTTTGTGACATCCCGAAAATTAGTCCATTTGGGATTTATAAAATACTGAATTTTATGAATGTACTTGTAGTTAGTTCTCACCTGGAACTGATCATTCCTGGGATACTAACCAGTAGGGAAAGGCTAATTAGGGATTTAAATTGGTACGACTAAAGAAAACTCGATCATGAATGGACTTTCGACCATAAAGTCGTCGATGTGATATGTTGAGCCACTGTTGGTCGATCCAAGGATAGTCAGGGGTCAGCTCGCCACTGTCATAGTTGTCACGCCCCGAACCCCATCGAGTACGCGACATCCCTCTTCGGTCAAATTAGTGCGACGTCCCAGGAAACGTCGCCGACCCAAACGAACCCATCAGAGTTTAATCGTGGCGGAAACATCAAACACCCAAACAATAATTCACTTAGGGTACTAGGGAAAATAAATTGCCAAACCACCAAATCATCAACTATACTTCGATTTAAGCATAATATCCATTTCTACATAAACTTATGCCACAACCGCCAATTTACAAACCACAAAGCAAAATATGCACAATGAACTACTAAACTGCAAACCACCGATATTACAGAAAGATCAGTAGCCTGGGTAAGCACTACACCAAAACGGGACACTTCCAAAGTCTTCTTCAGCTCCAAACTAATCCCTACGCTCTCTAGACGGCGTCCGCTCTGACTCACTCCCTTCGGAATCCTCGTCCGAATCCTCATCAGGTACAGCTTCATCCGACGACTCCAAATCGGCCTCAACTCGATCGGGAATTCTACCACATCATGATAAGTATGCATAACAATTCCAAATACGCGATGGTGGCGGCTGCAGAAGGTTCATGGCTCGGGCGGTTGATCTGAAATGGTTTGGTTGATACAACCATGAAACACTTCTCAATAAGTACACAACCTAACCCTTTTCTAGGCTACCACGTATTCCAGACAAGTCCAGACGCCGAATCAAGCAACACACAAACAACATCTGTGACATTCCGAATTTCGGCCCATTTTTGGGATTTATAAAACGTGTAATTCGTCAATGTGCTTATAGTAAAATCTCGCCCGGGAACTGATCACTCCCGGTTATTGTTTTAAATTTGAGATTTCGCTAGAATCGCATTTGATCGAATTTTGCCGTTATTTAGAGCCCAAACTTTGATGTCGAATTTCTCGGAGTTTCGGGATGAATTTAATTGGACGGTGTCGATATTATTGTGGCCAGCCTTGATATTGCCCGGGATATGTGAAAAGTGGATTTTTGACCGGGTGCAGATTTGGACTAGTAGACCTCCCTCGAGGTAGTTTGATTTAATTAATTTGGCCTTTGTCCCTTATTATATTTTAGGATTAATTTGGATCGGTAGATCGCTTTCGATTTTAAATATAGGCCATCGGATCGCAATTATTATTTGAATGTTTATTTATTTTTCTCTCTCTCTTTCTCTCTCTCTCCGGTCACTTTCCCTTCCTTCGCACGTCTGTCCCCCCCTGTTAGACCCATCCACTCCTCTCTCTCTCTTCCTTTTCTTTCTTTCTTCTTCTTTTCTTTTCTTCCTCTCTTCTTCTTCTTCTCCGTGGGTTTTCTCTTTCGACCGCGACTGCTTTGGCCTCCTACTTGCTGCTCACCAGGACCAGCCCAGCCACCATCCACCGTTCGCCTCGCGCCGACGTCGCCCGACCGAGCCGCGCCGCCGCTCGTCGCCCGCGACCGCCGCTGCCCGGCCACTGCTCGCTGTCGCTGGTCACCCCGCGTTACGCGAGCGCAGGCTTGTTCGCTCGCCTTGCATCCGCCGCGGTCCGGCGTCGCCCGAGCTGTCCGCCGGCCTTGTCCTCCGTCGCCCGGCCACCGAGACGCCGTCCCGTGCCACCTCCGGCCGCCGCGTGCCTCCTCTTCCCCGGTGCTTTCCCACGTCGGGCTCCCGGCTCGCCGCCGCCGCGTGCCGCTTCGTTCCGGCCGCCGCCGCTCCGCCCTCTGCCCCTCGGTCTTTCCCCTCGGTCACCTCCTCCGCCCAGTTGCCCCTTGGCCGCCACAGCCCCCTTTCCCCTACTTTTCCTTCCTCCCCGACGTCTCCCCTGTTTTTCTCTTCCCCGGCGTCGCCTCGTCCAGCCGCCGTCGCTGCTCCGTCCGCCACCACCCAGCCCCCAGCGACCTTGCTCAGCCGCCGTACTCGCCAGGATAGCCCAACCGCCGTTGTCGTCGCCGTCGCCCGAGCGTCCCGGGCCGTGGCCGAGCTCACCTAGCCGCTGCCCAACCAGCCCGAGCTTGCCCAGGCCGTGGCCGGACTGCCCCGGGCCGTGGCCGTGTGCCGAGCCTTGGCCGAGCTCCGCGCCCGTCGCACCCTCGTCGTTACTATTCACCCGGCCCGTTTTGAGCCCGTGCGAGTTTTTCCCCGGCCAAATTGAAATAAGTGACCTCCTAATCCTTATTTAGGACTATGGGTATTTTTAGACTTGTTTAGGATGTGATTAGTACTGGTTTAAGGGCTAAACGTG